ATTCTCTTATGGGCCTGGGGCTGGGTTTTATCTCGAGAGGGACACACTGAACCCGACCAAATTGTAACCCCTTCTGGCTCCTGAGAAAGCCCCCTCAGGCGTAGCCCCCCAGGCCAGTTCAGGTCCCGCCTCAACTCCCCTGCCGGTGTCTGCAGAGGCTGGGTTTGAACCTGACCTTGATCCAGTCCCTCTGGACCAGAAGGGAACAAAGAGGTTTGTTACGGAGGTAGCTGGCTGAGCTGCAGGACTCTACCACTGTGTGGGTTCTAGGTAGCTTCTAGAAGCCTTAGTTTTCCCCTCTGTGTAAAGGAGATGGATATGGACCTCTCTCACAAAGATACTATGATAAAGAAACGGGACGGTCTCACTGGCTCACACCTGTAACCCCAGCACTTTGGGAGGCCAATGTGGAAGGATCGCTGAGCCCAGGAGTTCCAGACCAGACCAGCCTGGGCAACATAGGAAGACCCTCATTTCTACAAAAAAAAAAAAAAAAAAATATATATATATATATATATAAAATAAAATTGAAAACATAGAAAAAAGAAAGAAAATGAGGTTTTACCTGTCTACCTAGGACCATCTCAGGCACATCAAAAACGCTCAGTGTTCATGAAATTCATGCATTCTTTCAACAAACATTGAACACCTGCCATATGCTAGGCATTGATCTTGGAACTAGGGCCACATCAGAGAATAAAATAAGCAAATTCCTCTCTTCTTGGAGCTAATATTCTAGGAGAAGTGTGGGGAGACAGACTCCATACTCAACATAATAAACATAATTGGAAACATAAGTTGTATAACATAGTAGTTCTCAGCTGGGGGCAATTATGCCCACCAGGGGACATTTGGCTATGGCTGGAGGCACTTTTGGTTGTCACAGAATGTGTGTGTGTGTGTGTGCGCGCGCGCGCACGCGTGCTCCAGGCATCTAGTGGCTAGAGGCCAGGGATGGTGCCCAAAGTCCTACAATGCACAGGACATCCCTCATAGCAAAGAATGATCTGACTCCTAATATCCATAGTGCAAAAGGTGGGAACTCTAGTATACTATATTCAAAAGTCATAAATGCTATGAAAAAAAAATGAAGGGAAGAAAAAGTCCAGTAAGATAAGTGCTTGGCAGGACTGGGATGGGCACTAAGCAGTGGGCAGTGGCTAGGGTGGCCGGGGCCAGCCTCACTGACAAGGTGAAACGTTGAGCACTTAATGGAATATTCCAGCCCCTCTTGTAGATATGTAAACACACTCCATGTTCTTGAGCCTCTCAAAAACCCTTATCCATGGGTAACCACCCGAATGTGTTCTGGGGAAAGGATTTACATGGAAGTGATTCATCAGCCCTTACGGAGGAGATAGAATTAGTTCATTTGGGAAATCGGAGGAGGTTTTCTGGAAGAGATAGCATGAGACGTGTGGCTTTGAGGATATATGTACTGTGGACCGAGAAAGGAAGGACACACCAGGCACAGGGCACAGCCAAGGCAAAGGCAAGGGGGCAGGAAAGTGGGGCTCTGTTGGATACACCTGTGGCTGAAGCTGCCTTGGCGAGCTGGGGCAGAGCTGTCCAGCTTAGCGAGGAAGCCAGAAGGCTGCCCATCAATGTCCTGTGCCCAGACCTCACTGCAGGGTAACTGAGAGGGGAAGAGAGGTCCTAGAAGGAGGCAGCAGACCTCTACCCTCTATCCCTGGCCCAGGACAAGGAAGGGAGGCCTGTTTCTCAGGTGGGTGGGGAACATGTAACAAGGGAATTTGAAGACAATATGATGAGTCTGGGAAGTACAAGAGACTGTGAGAACCACTGGAGACACTGGCTGAGCCTGGAGGACTTCCTGAAGGAGGTGATGCCTGGGGAAGGGGTCAGAATTATTCCAGAGGAGATGGATACATTAAAGAACGGTCCCAACATGGTATCAGCACATGCAAAGATTGGGAGAATAGGGAACAGGACTTGTTGGAGAAGCTAAGACTAATTCAGGGGCAATCATCTGGGGCTAGGGTGTCAGCTGTGGTCACATCATACAAGGACCTGAATAGCAGGGACAAGAGGTTTGGGTGAATGTGGGAAGAAGGTAAAAGTCACAGGATTCAGCTCCAAGGCCATGACCACTCTGGTTTCCATTCTCTGCAGAGATGAGAGGATTGCTGTAACCAGGGAAGCCAGCCCACTGCAAAGGGCATGTGGTGTATTGGTTGTCGCTCTGAAGTTTGGCTTTGCTTTTATTTTTTATTATAAAGTATGCAAAGAGGTATGAGTATGCAGGAAAAAATGAAAACGTTTATGCCTTCCACTCGCCTTTATCAAGTTTTGACATCTTCACATATTTCAGATCTTCTTAAAAATCATCACATAACAAATAACATAACGTAACAAATAACATCATATAACAAATAACATCGTCACATAACAAATCATAGCAAACAGAGTGGAGGTCTCTTGTACCCCAGCCTCCTCTTATTCCCCTCCCCAAGGCCACTGCCCTCCCAAACTTGGTGTTTATCCTATTTTAAAATGCTTTAATTACACATCTTTCCATGGTGAATATATTGGGCTGTTTTGCACATCTGGGAGCTTTATTAAAATGTCATCACATGGTCTATATCCTTCCGGAACTTGTTTTTGTCTTCTCCACATTGCAATTATGAGATATGTCTATTCAACACTCATTCTTCATTTAAAATGAAGATAAGCACAAAAAAATAAATGCTTAGTTAACAGAGAACAGGATAAAGCTTCCTTAATTTGAGAAGCAGCAATTTCCAGGATCCTACAGAAATGTCTTGCTTAATAGTGAAACATGAGAACCATTTTTGGTAAGACCCAGAACAAATTAAAAATGTCCACGGTGTAGTGGGTTGAACAGTGTCCCCCAAAAGAAATGCTGGGGCCAACTGTGGTGGCTTACACCTGTAATCCCAGCACTAGGCTGGAGAAGCACTTGAGGCCAGGAGTTGGAGACCAACCTGGACAACACAGGAAGACCCCTATTGAGTAAGGCGTTTCGGCAGGCTCGCAGAAATTACCCCTTATCCAGCCAGAATCGGTGAGCTAGGGCTGCCATAACAAAGTGGCACAAAGCGGGGACTTTGAACAACACAAAGATATTCTCTCACAGTCCTGGAGGCCAGAAGTCTGAACTCAAGATGTCAGCAGGGCCGTGTTCACTCTGAATGGTGTAGGGGAGAATCCTTCCCTGCGCCTCTAGATTCTGGTGGTTGCCGACAACCTTTGGCGTTCCTTGGCTTGTAGACCCATCACTGGAATCTCTGTTTCTGTTGTCATGATTTTCTCCCTTCCTCCCTCTTCACATCATCTTCCCTCTGTGTCTCTCTCCTCTCATTTTGCTTTGTTTTGTTTTTAAGAGACAGGGGCTGTGTGAGGCAGCTCATGCCTATAATTCCAGCACATTGGGAAGCAGAGGTGGGAGAATCTCTTTGAGGCCAGGAGTTCGAGACCAGTCTGGGCAGCATATTGTGAGAAGCATATTTAGTAAAATCAAGAACACGATAAAGAGGTCCCTCTTGCTATTTTGTCAATGCAATGAGAAAACATAAAGAATTATGGCCGGGCGCAGTGGCGCAAGCCTGTAATCCCAGCACTTTGGGAGGCCGAGACGGGCGGATCACGAGGTCAGGAGATCGAGACCATCCTGGCTAACACGGTGAAACCCTGTCTCTACTAAAAAATACAAGAAAAAAACTAGCCGGGTGAGATGGCGGGCGCCTGTAGTCCCAGCTACTTGGGAGGCTGAGGCAGGAGAATGGCGTAAACCCTGGAGGCGGAGCTTGCAGTGAGCTGAGATCCGGCCACAGAACTCCAGCATGGGCGACAAAGCAAGACTCCGTCTCAAAAAAAAAAAAAAAAAAAAAATATATATATATATATATATATATATATATATATATAAAGAATTAAGACCTGTAAACACTGGAAAGGATGAGTCAAAGCTGACAATATTTGGAAGCCGTGATCTTATATCTAGGCAGTTCGAGAGACTTCTGAACTAATTAAAGATCTCAGCAAGGTGATTCTTTAAAAGGAGCAGCTTTCTTAGGTTGCAGCAGTGAGTATTTGCAAATGTAGAAGGAAAGAAAACCCTCTTCACAATACAAGGAAGGTTTGATTTACTTATTTATTTCAGAAACCTTGGTCTTGCTATGTTGCCCAGGCTGGTCTCGAACTCCTGAGCTCAAGCGATCCTTCTGCCTCCCACAGCATTGGGATTATAGACGTGAGCTACTACAAGAAAAATTCTTGAACATTAAAGAATAATTATAGGAAGAGTATAGATTAAGCCCTTACATGTAGCTAAGATCTGAATAACTAAAGACACAAAGCTGGACACAGCAGCTCACACCTGTGATCCCAGCACTTTGGGAGGCCGAGGTGGGTGGATTACTTGAGGTCAGGAGTTCGAGACCAGCCTGGCCAACATGGTGAAACCCTGTCTTTACTAAAAATACAAAAATTAGCTGGGTGTGGTAGCAGGCGCCTGTAATCCCAGCTACTAGGGAGGCTGAGGGAGGAGAATTGCTTGAATCCGGGAGGCGGAGGTTGCAGTGAGCCGAGATCTCACTGTTGCACTCCAACCTGGGTGACAGAATTACAAATGCCCACCACCATGCCTGGCTAAATTTTGTATTTTTAGTAGAGACGGGGTTTCACCATGTCGGCCAGGCTGGTCTCGAACTCCTGACCTCAAGTGATTCACCTGCTTAGGCCTCCCAAAGTGCTGGGATTACAGGTGTGAGCCACCGCGCCCAACCAAGTGGTGTGTTTATTACAACTGATGGACTGACATTGACCTGTCATTACTACCTACGGTCTCTAGTTTAGATGAGGGTTCACTCTTGGTGTCCTATGTTCTACGGTTTTGGACAAATGTATAATGACATGTATTCACCATTACGGTATCAGACATACGGAGTAGGTTCCTAAAAATCCTCAGGCTCTGTCTGCTCACAAATATATTTTTCAAAATTCCATTGAAGGATTGCCAAACAGATTTAAAAACAAACCCGGCTTTTCCGGCGGTGACGACCTACCCACACGAGAACATGCCTCTCGCAAAGGATCTCCTTCATCCCTCCCCAGAAGAGGAGAAGAGGAAACACAAGAAGAAACACCTGGTGCAGAGCCCCAATTCCTACTTCATGGATGTGAAATGCCCAGGATGCTATAAAATCACCATGGTCTTTAGCCATGCACAAAAGGTAGTTTTGTGTGTTGGCTGCTCCACTGTCCTCTGCCAGCCTACAGGAGGAAAAGCAAGGCTTACAGAAGGATGTTGCTTTAAGAGGAAGCAGCACTAAAGGCACTCTGAATCAAGATGAGTGGGAAATCATCTCAATAAACACATTTTGGATTAAAAAAAAAAACAGGGGCGGGTACGCTGTAATCAGCACTTGGAGGCGAGGCGGGCGGATCAAAGGCAGGAGATGAGACACGTGAACCCGTCTACTAAAATACAAAAATTAGCCGGCGCGGTTGGGCCTGTAGTCCAGCTACTCGGAGCTGAGCAGAGAATGGCGTGAACCCGGAGGCGGAGCTGCAGGGCCGAGATCGCCACTGCACTCCAGCCTGGCAACAAGCGAGACTCCGTCCAAAAAAAAAAAAAAAAAAAAAAAAAAAAAAAAAAAAAAAACAACCAAACCTGACGCGCGGATTATCTGGAATATGATAGAGAGGTTGCAACTAGGGAGAAGAACCTCTTGAGGTCAGAGAATGAGGAGGGAGCCAGCTTTTGTTTTCGCTGTGGAGCTTGATGTTTCAGTTCCATGTGTACAGGTGACATTCAAAAAGCAAAACAAAAGGTTTAAAGATAGAGTAATTTAAATATCATCTAAAATATTTCACAAGAGTGGCTGAGAACATTTTGAATAAAGAAGAACTGTAACAGGGCAGGGCTTGGTGGCTTCTCCCTATAATCTCAGCTTTTTGGGAGGCTGAGGCAGGAGGATCTCTTGAGCCCAGGCGTTCGAGACCAGCCTGGGCAACATACTGAGACCTTGTCTCTAAAATAAAATAAAATAAAAAATTGTGTGGTGGTGCATGCCTCTAGTCCCAGCTACACAGGAGGCTGAGGTGGGAGGATCGCTGGAGCTCAGGAAATCGAGGCTGCAGTGAGCCACTGTGATCACACTACTGCACTCCAGCCTGGGTGAAAAAGTGAGAGCGTCACACACACACACAAAGTGCCGTGCCTAGTTGTTATCAAAATATTATAAGCTGGCTTGGGTTTCCTTAGATACAGAGCTTGAGACAAGGGTTTGGATACAAGTAGGTGATCTGGGAGGGGATTCCAAGAAGCACCAACAGAGGACGGGGAAAGTGAAGACAATCAAGTAGGGAAAGGAAAAAAGCCGATTCAGAGGCATCAGTGAGCTTCTGACCCACGTGGGTGACTGGACTCAGCTCCTCTGGGAGCCTCTGCACTCCAGGGAGATGGTACAGACAAGTTTTACAGTTCCCCTGTCTGTTGAAGGTTGACTCTAAATGAGATGGAATTTAGCCTGCAAGCTGTTTATGAAGGAATGTCCTTGGGGTCAACAATAGTAGAAGGGAGGTGGCATTTGTAGCGTCTTTTTTACACCAAAATATTCTCTAATTCTAACACTAGCCACCTGGAGTTAGCACCACATTCCACAAGTTAAAAAGCCAGGTCCCACAGGAATAACCCTATTTCAGATCCCACGTGCAAAGGGGATGCCCAGGCCACCCACACTTCCGCCTGCCCAACAAAAATTGGGGGTCTTCACAACTCCTTTCAGATCCAGTAATTTGCTAGAATGACACAGAATTCAGGAAAACATTTTGCTTATGTTCTTACCGAACTGAATCGGGTCTGTTTACCACATGCAATGGAAAACCAAACAACTAAACACAGATTTTGTAGAGATAAAAGTTTACTTCAAGTAAGGAGAGAGGAGTCTGGCTCAAATCTGTCTCTCTGAGCTGGGGGCTGCTGCAGATTTTATATACAGAGGGTAGTGAGGTGTAACCTAATTGGATCATGTAACGAGGTGATGTGGGAGGCTTGATCTGATTGTATCATACCATGGGATGATGTCAGAGTGCAATCTGATTGGATCATAGATCATGCCATGTAGTGTCCGCTTCTTAATTCAGTCCCCATTTGTTGGACTGAACACTTAGGTTCTGCCTGTGGCTACTTGCTTGGTTCATCTGGGCATGATCAAGGTATGTACCTTGCAACCTGGGGGTCCAGGTAACTGAAAAATAACTTGCCATTTTACTACACAAAGTTGAACCAGATTGGGCTACTTCTGTGGCTGCAATGTTTACCAGTTTCTGATAAAAGATACAACTCAGAAACAGCAAAATGGAAGAGATGCGTAAAAGAAAGGAGGATTTCGGGGTGGAAGGGGTTGCATCGAGCCTCCATGCCTTCTCTGGGTGCCATTGGTTGACTGGGGGAATGAATTCCCTGGTGCTTCCAGCCTGCAAGATGAACTCTGGCAACCAGTAAGTCCCCAGTCAAAGGGGTGCAGGGGCTGGTAGACAGAAATTGAGCAGATGGTAGTTTGCACAGATGAGATAAAGCCTCAGGGGACATAGCAGCTACACATGGCAATCCAAAAACTCTAATCTCCAAAAGAAAGAGAGAGTAGGTTAATGGAACACACGAAGCTCACCCTCCAAAGGCATTCCACACCAGGTCACTTACAAAGCTCCCAAGATGAACCAGAAACACAAGCTCTACACCAGGGGACCTTGGAGGCATCCGAAGAAGGACAGACTGGATCCAGGCCCATGGGGATGAAGAATTTGACAGAGGCCAGGCAGAGCGACTCACGCCTGTAATCCCAGCACTTTGGGAGGCCAAGGCCATCAGATCGCCTGAGCTCAGGAGTTCAAAACCAGCCTGGGCAACATGGCAAAACCTTGTTTCTACAAAAAGTGTGAAAATTAGCAGGGCTTGACGCGTGCCTGTGGTCCCAACTACTCAGGAGGCTGAGGTGGGTTGGCTGCAGTGAGCTGTGATCATGCCACTGCATTCCAGCCTGGGTGACAGAGACCCTGTCTCACAAAACAAAACAAAAATAAAGAATCTGATAGAGAACAGTCCCAGAGATTTTGTGAAGGTCCAAGGATGGAGAGAAGGAACCCTGGCTTAAAAGTGGCGAAGTGCCACTATGCCGCATGGGCAATCGGGGATGCAGAGGCTGAGGAGAGAAGCTGCCCTTCATCTCTGGAGCAGGAGGCTGCAGACTTTTTGCAGATCCAGAATTTGGCAGCACTGCATTTGTCGTCATTCCAGCCATTGCCATTAAATTCCACACAGTCTTCCTCCCCGATATTGTTGGGCTCTCCTCTGTTCCAATATTGCTTGAAGCTGTAAAACCCATACAGAATGTGAGCCTCTGCCCCCACCTGCTACATGAGCTATGTTTCTACCTTTCGAAATCTTGATGCTTTTTCTTTTGAGACAGAGTCTCGCTCTGTCTCCCAGGCTGGAGTGCAGTGGTGCAATCTCGTGTCACTGCAACCTCCGCCTCCCGGGTTCAAGCGATTCTCCTGCCTCAGCCTCCTGAGTAGCTGGGATTACAAGCGTGTACCACCAGGCCTGGCTAATTTTTGTACTTTTGGGTTTTTTTTTTTGTTGTTTGTTTTGTTTTTGACACGGAGTCTCACTCAGTCACCCAGGCTGGAGTGCAGTGGCGCGATCTTGGCTCACTGCAAGCTCCACCTCCTGGGTTCACATCATTCTCCGGCCTCAGCCTCCTGAGTAGCTGGGATTACAAGCGTGTACCACCAGGCCTGGCTAATTTTTGTACTTTTGGTTTTTTTTTGTTGTTTGTTTTGTTTTTGACACGGAGTCTCACTCAGTCGCCCAGGATGGAGTGCAGTGGCACGATCTCGGCTCACTGCAAGCTCCACCACCTGGGTTCACACCATTCTCCTGCCTCAGCCTCCCAAGTAGCTGGGACTACCCGGCTAATTTTTTTTGTATTTTCAGTAGAGACAGGGTTTCAACGTGTTAGCCAGGATGGTCTTGATTCCCTGACCTCGTGATCTGCCTGTCTCGGCCTCCCAAAGTGCTGAGATTACAGGCATGAGCCACCGCGCCCAGCCATTTTTGTACTTTTGGTAGAGACGGGGTTTCACCATGTTGGCCAGGCTGGTCTCAAACTCCTGACCTCAGGTGATCCACCTGCCTTGGCCTCCCAAAGTGCTGGGATTACAGGTGTAAGCCACCATGCCTGGCCTCTTGATGCTTTAATATCTTCCCTGCGTGTGTATGCTGGACACACATTGCTCTGCACACCCCATGGTGTTTGAGTGACACTGCCTTGAGTTCCTGCCTCTCTTGCTGCACCTCATCCTTGAAAGAACTTCACCTATTGAGGGTGTGATTTTCAAATACAAACCAACCAGTCTGGAGTCCACACCCCCAACCACCTGCCTTTCTGGGCTCTTGCATTCATACCCACTCTCTTCTTTTTTTTTTTTTTTTTTTTTTTGAGACAGAGTCTCACTCTGTCACCCAGGCTGGAGTAGTGCAGTGGCATGATCTCAGTTCATTGCAACCTCCGCCTCCTATGTTCAAGTGATTCACTTGCCTCAGCCTCCCAAGTAGCTGGGACCACAGGCGCATGCCACCACACCCGGCTACTTTTTGTATTTTTAGTAGAAATGGGGTTTCACCATGTTGGCCAGGCTGGTTTCGAACTCCTGGCCTCAGGTGACCCGTCCGAGCCAAGTGTCAGACAGCTAGGGACAGAACCTACCCCCCAGAGCCTGCGATATAGGATTCCTACCTGACAATCCTAAGCCTCCTTGCCTGGCCCTGTCTGTTCCTTCCCACAGAATCTATAATAAAGGCTCTGGCTGACAGTTGCCCCCTCTCTGTCTCATGACCCACCTGGTGCTTCATGAGCTGTGATGTGTCCTCTCTCTAGGGATCCGTCAATATGACAAGCTACTCACAATGGCAGGTGTCTCCTGAGCTGGTGGCCTTACTAGACCTCAGACTTCCTATTACTACACTATATTTTAACACACCCACCCACGGGGTAAGCTCCTCCTGCAGCTCTGCTGGTGGAATTCTAGGCACCTGCCATGCTGTCTGCAGGTGAGTATGAAGACCACTTAACTCAGTAAAAACCCCCAGATTCTTGGATCTAGGGTGTCAGGGAGTTGGGGAGGATCCCCAGGGAAAGTTCAAGTCAGAGCTTGACGATTCCAGCCCCAGTAGATAGGGTGCCCCTTCTGAGATCTACCTGGTTGACAGAGGTGAGTCGTCCACCCATTGCCACGTGTCTTCCTGATTTAGATCTGAAAGTCCCATCCAGGCGAAGCGGTTACTTCTGGAAGACTGCAGCTGTAGGAAGTTCTGGAGGGTAGAGGAGGAGTCAGGAGGGAGCTCTGCTTCCCATTTTCCAGGTTCTGTCTCCCCATCTCTTGGCAGGAAGTTCTGCTTGTAGGCTAACCTTCAGCCTTCTGGTACACTGGGTCCTGAGCCCCCTCGTGTCTGAGTCTCTCTCACATGTGTATCCCACAGCACATGTGTCCTGACGTACACACATCCATGCACAGCTGGCCTCTCCTCACACACTCTTGCTAACACTGCGTGTTTATCCATTTTATACATTCTGTGCATGTCTGCACACATTTACTCGTAACTGGGCTTAATGTATTAGAGTCAGATCCAACCATTTCCTAATTGCTGGTCATGTGCATCTCCTTTCAGCTCTGCACTGAGTGACATCACATTGACAGCTTGAAATCAGCCACCTGGCCGGGCGCGGTGGCTCACGCCTGTAATCCCAGCACTTTGAGAGGCCGAGGCGGGCGGATCACGAGGTCAGGAGATCAAGACCATCCTGGCTAACACAGTGAAACCCCGTCTCTACTAAATATACAAAAAATTAGCCGGGCGTGGTGGCGGGCGCCTGTAGTCCCAGCTACTTGGAGGCTGAGCCAGGAGAATGGTGTGAACCCGGGAGGCGGAGCTTGCAGTGAGCCGAGATTGCACCACTGCACTCCAGCCTGGGCGACAGAGCGAGACTCCGTCTCAAAAAAAAAAAAAAGAAAGAAATCAGCCACCATGGGAATATTTACACCAGGGAAATTGGCAGACATGACACATCAGGACTTCTTCCCCCAGAGAGCCGGTTGTTAACCACTTGTGGCATGCCACTGGTGGTTACTATAGTTTGTATTTTCCCCAGAGCTTTCACACATGTTCAGATTTGGTTTGTATCTGCTCTAAGGGTACCTGGGACTCCCTCATTCATATCCTTCTCCTCCCATCTTTTTAAGTGGAGCAAAGCCTCTCTTCTGCAAAATCCTCTCTGAGCACCTCCTCCCTGGTTGGCCAGAAGTCATGCCCCAGGCCAGGACGGGGACCCCCACCAGGTGTACCTGCTCCTCAGCACTTTTGATTACGACGAGCTGGGCCCCCACCTCCTGGCAGGCGGTGATGGAGTCATGCCAGTTCCGCTGGGAGTTCGATATGAAGTAACAGTTTCCTTGGAAGAATGTCCACTCCCAGGGACAGGGGCGGCACAGGCGTTCTGTTGGGGGAGGCCGGTCAGGGCTGGGCTCAGATGAGGTTGTCCATACTCCTGTATCTGCCCAGCCTTCAAGGTCTTGAGAGTCGGAGCCCTTCCTTCACTGTCCACACTGGGTGGACCATTCCCCTCCCCACTTCCCGAGACCCTCCCCCATCCCCATGAGAACCTGGGAGTCCTGGCCCCATCTCCTCCAGACTAGGAGAAGTCGGAGCTTTAGAGCACAGAACAGAAGGCAAGAGACTAGCTTGATTGAGTGCCTACCGTGTACCTGGCCCACTGAACACCAAGTGCAAGCATCGCTGTTAATCTGTGTTCTTATTTCACAGAGGAAGAAACTGAGGCTCAGAGAGGGTTAGTGACTCAAGCAAAGTCACACACTGTGGAAACCCTCCCAGGCCCAACGACCCCTGGCATCTGGCCACTCACCCACAGCAGCCTTCAGCTGGGACAGGTCCTGGGAGATCTCGTCCTGCTTGGACTGATCCAGCCTCTGGGAGCTGGGGTTCTTGGAGACTGGGACAAGGAAAGAAATTGCAATGATTAAACACCTGCTGTGTGCCACGCCCTACATTGTCCCCCTAAGGACGTCATTTCTGAGCACAAAAATCTTGTTTAAATCCTTTTTTGGATAAGGAAAACTGACACCCAGAGAAGGCAGCAGGGAAGGGGCAGAAGAGCCTGTCCTTCTCCCCTCCCCTGCCCTGGAGATGAGAGTGGTCATGGGGAAAAGCCTCTGGAAACCCAAAGGGACAAAAGGCCAGCTTTTAGCTCTTCGTTCGTCTTGGAACTGGCCACCCCCAGCTACGTCTACAGCAGAAGAACCAGGCCTGGGAGGCCAGGACTCTCAGAGCCCGCTGCTGACCTTGGACAAGGATGGCCACCAGCAGCCCAGTGAAGAGTGTGAAGAAGAGGAGCGGCAGCACCAGGGGTGCGTGGCCCAGACACCCTGCAGGAGAAAAGATTGCTTGGTTCCAGCATGCCAGTGCCCAAGCCTCAGCCTGGCCCAGGGAAAGCCTGGCCACAGCCCCACCTCCCCAAATGGCAGGAGTGAAAGCCCCAGCCCCAACTCTCCACGTGGCAGGAGTCAAGTCCCCAGCCTCCACCTACCCAGCACCCAGGAGTGCAGGAACCCAGCCCTTACTTCCCAGGTCCCAGGAGCGAAGGCCCCAGCCCCCACCTCCCCAGCCCCCAGGAACCCAGGCCCCAGCCTCCACCTCCTAAGGTATCAGTAGTCCAGGTCCCAGCCCCTACCTCCTTAGGATGCAGGAGTCCAGGACCCTGCTCCCACCTCTCCAGGATCCAGGAGTCCAGACTCCAGCCTCCACCTCCCTAGGACCCAGGAGTCCAGACCCCAGCGTCCACCTCCCTAGGACCCAGGAGTCCAGACCCCAGCCTCCACCTCCCTAGGACCCAGGAGTCCAGACCCCAGCCCCTACCTCCCTAGGACCCAGGAGTCCAGACCCCAGCCTCCACCTCCCTAGGACCCAGGAGTCCAGACCCCAGCCTCTACCTCCCTAGGACCCAGGAGTCCAGACCCCAGCCTCTACCTCCCTAGGACCCAGGAGTCCAGACCCCAGCCTCTACCTCCCTAGGACCCAGGAGTCCAGACCCCAGCCTCCACCTCCCTAGGACCCAGGAGTCCAGACCCCAGCCTCCACCTCCCTAGGACCCAGGAGTCCAGGAACCAAGCTCTCACCTCCCAGGTTCCAGGAGTGAAGCCCCCAGCCCTTACCTCCCCAGGACCCAGGAACCCAGACCCCAGCCCCTACCTCCTCACATCCCAGGAGTCCAGACCCCAGCCTCTACTTCCCTAGGACTCAGGAGTCCAAGTCCCCAGGCCCCACCTCCCCAAGACCCAGGCCCATAACCTCCACCTCCCCAGGACCCCAAAACCCAGGCCCCAGCCTCCACCTCCTCAAGTCTCAGTAGTCCAGGCCCCAGCCCCTGCCTCCATAGGACCCAGGAGTCCAGGCTCCCAGCCCCCACCACCCCAGGTCCCAGGAATCCAGGTCTCAGCCCCCACCTCCCCAAGACCCAGCCTCTACCTCCTCATGTCCTAAGAGTCCAGGCCTCAGCCACCAGCTCCCCGGGACCCAGGAACCCAGGACCCAGCCTCCACCTCCCCAGGTTCCAGGAGTCCAGGCTCCAGCCACCTGCTCACCAGGACCCAGGAGTCTGGGAGGTTCTGTTCTCTCCTCCCTTCCAACTAACCCTTCTCTACCTGCTAAGCTCTTGTAGCCTCGAGTCTGTCGGAATCCAAAGTCTCTTGGGAAAAAATTCATACTGCTAGTTATCAGCTCTTCCTCTTCTAAATGGATAAATACGAACTCAGAGCCTGGGCAGGCTGAGGCCAGGGCTAGCCATCCCCTTCCCACCCCAGGATCCCAAAGCATCCCCAGGATCCTAGAGCACCCCAGGATCCCAAAGCCCCAGCTCAGCCTCACCCAGGAGGCCCAGCGGCTGCGCCCTTGGTTCCTTGGAGTCACTCATGTTTCCCCCACCGTCCCTCAATTTCCAGAACTTCTGGGGACCACAGTGCTTATTTCCCACCCCACGATTCTCACTCCCTAAATCTCTTCTTACTGAGGAAGAAAAACAGGAAACTGGGTAGGGATATAATACCCAAAAGGCCGGTGGGAGGGGTCAGAGCATGAGATGGCCCTGACCTTGCAGGAATTTCAAGGAGCTGGTGGGGAATGGTCTGAGGTTGACAGGGAGAAGGATTCGTCCACTCCTTCCATAGTTGAGCTGCGTGTTGCTTTTAATGAAATCCAGTAAGTTCTAATGAAAAGTGACTTCGTTATACCCCTCCACCTAGGGCAGGGATGGGCAGGCAGTACCCCTAGTTCCTGGAACCATCATCCTCCCTGACCACAGGCTTTGTTGCTGTGATCTGCTGATGTCCTCATTTATGAGAATTTTTGCTGACTTTGGGAGTTGAGGCTGAATCAGAATTCCTTGTTTATTTAATGCCTATGATAGTCAAGCACTTTTCTAGTAAGTTTATAAACTCATTCACTTGAATCTTCCTACCCTATGGTAGATCATATGATTTCCGTTTTGCAGATGGGGGATACTAAAGCACAGTGAGGTTATGTAACTGGCCCAAGGTCACACAGCTAGTAAATGGGACATCTGGGATTTGAAGCCAGACAGTCTGCCTCAATGACAGTCAAAGACAGTTCACCAAAAGACAGTCAAATGGCATCAAGGAGGAAATAAAATATTCATAATGGCTTTGAATTGTTTCCAAATTCCTAAATTTGGTTCTTTCCAAATTGGAACAACCTGTGTGGTCACCAGCATATATATATATATATATCAGATATATGACATATATATATGACATATATATCTGATATATATGATATATATATATCCTTTAAAGGATATATATCCTTTAAAAAGGAAGGACACTGGCCAGATGCAATGGCTCATGTCTGTAATCCCAGCACTTTGGGAGGCCAAGGCAGGCAGATCACGAGGTCAAGAGTTCAAGACCAGCCTGGTCCATATGGTGAAACCCCATCTCTACTAAAAAAAAAACCACAAAAATTAGTCAGGCGTGGTGGTGCATGCCTGTAGTCCCAGCTACTCGGGAGGCTGAGGCAGGAGAGTCGCTTGAACCCGGGAGGCAGACGCTGCAGTGAGCCGAGATCACACCACTGCACTCCAGCCTGAGCGACAGTGTGAGACTTTGTCTCAAAAAAAAAAAAAAAAAAGAAAGAAAAAAAAGAAAGGACATTCTGACACATGCTACAACATGATGAACCTTGAGGACAACATGCTAAGTGAAATAAGCCAGTCATAATAAGACAAAGGCTGTATGAATCCATTCATAAGCGTTCCCTAGAGTCGTCAGATTTATAGAGACAGAAAGTAGAATGGTGGGTGCCAGGGGCTGGGGAATGGGGAACAGGGAGTCAGTGTTTCCTGGGAACAGAGTTTCACTTGGGAAGATGAAAAAGTTTGTGAGATGAATGGTGGTGATGGTTGCACAACAAGGTGAATCTACTTTGTAAAAGAAAATAAAATTTCATAGGCTGGGTACGGTGGCTCACGCCTGTAATCCCAGCACTTTGGGAGGCCAAGGCGGGTGGATCACCTGAAGTCAGGAGTTCGAGGCCAGCCTGGCAAACGTGGTGAAACCCCGTCTCTACAAAAAAGACAAAAAAATTGCCGAGCGTGGTGGTGGGTGCCTGTGATCCCAGCTACTCAAGAGGCTGAGGCAGGAGAACTGCTTGAACCCGGGAGGCAGAGGCTGCAGGGAGCTGAGATTGCACCACTGCCCTCCAGCCTGGGCAACAGAGTGAGACTCTGTCTCAAAAAATAAAAAAAATAAATAAAAAACCTTTGGGCTCCACCTACTCGACAGATAGATTTTCAAAATTCTATTGAAGGATTTCCAAACAGGTTTTAAAACAAACCTGACAAGCTCATTATTTGGAATATAATAAAGAGGTTATATTCTTTACTTGGGAATAAATAGCAAAGCTACAAGTGGGGACAGTAACCTCTTGAGAATGGGAAGATGGGGACGGAATGAGCTTTAGTTTTCACTGTAGAGATTGATACGTTTTGGTTCTGTGTGCACACGTGACTTATTCCACAAGTAAATGAAAACCTTTAAAGCCAGAGTAGTTTCAAAAATCATCCAAAAATTGCACAAGAATACCTGAGAACATTTTGATAGAGAAGAGCCACGACCAGGCAGGCCCTAGTGGCTCATGCCTGTAAACTCAGCACTTTGGGAGGCTGAGGCAGGAGGATGAGTTGAGCCTGAGAGCTCAAGAACAGCATGGGCAACACAGTGAGACCCCATCTCTACAAAAAGTTTTTTTAAAGTAGCTAGATGTGGTGATGTACAAGTGTGGTCCCAGCTACTCAGGAGGCTGAGGTGGGAGGATCACTGGAGCCCATGAGGTCAAGGCTGCAGTAGGTCATGATTGCACCTCAGCACTTCAGCCTGGGTGACAGAGCAAGACCTTGTCTCACACACAAAAAGAGCCATGCCTGGTAGTTATCAAAATATATTATAAGCTTGGCTTGGGTTTCCCCCAGTGCAGAGCTTGAGACAAGGATTTGGATATAAGTAGCTTATCTGGGAGGAGATTCCAAGAAGCACCAGCAGGGAACAGGGAGAATAAAGAGAAGCAGGTAGAGAAAGGAAAGAACCCAATACAAAGGCACCAATGACCTGAAAAGGGCAACTGGGCCCAATTCCCCTGGGAGCCTCTGGGAGACGACACAGAACAAGCCTCACAGTTCCTCTGCCTGTTGAAGGTCAACTCTAAGCAAGATGGAATTTAACTTACAAGCTGTTTATGAAGGAGCGTCTTTGGGATCAACATCAGTAGAAGGGAAGTGATGAAAAAAATTCTCTAATTCTAACACTAGCTTCCTGGAATTAGTACCACATTCCACAAGTTAAAGGACTAGATCCCAAAAGACTGACCCCGCTTCAGATGCCAGGTGCAAAGACAGTGCCTTTGCACTGTCTACCCACACTTATGCCAGGCTGGCAAAAAACTGGGGCTTCCGATAAGCCTATCTTAAGTTCAGTAATTTCCTAGAATTATTTAGAGAACTTAGGAAAACATTTTGCTTATGCTGTTGCTGAACTAAATTGGGTCAGTTCCCTGGCTCACAGTGGAAAATCAAATACTGAAGCACTGGGATTTTGTAGAGATAAAAATTTATTCCAAGGCAGCCAAGCAAGCAGACATGAGTCTGGCCCAAATCTGTCTCTCCAAGCTGGGGGCTGGGGCAGATTTTATACACAGAGGGTAGTGAGGCATGATGTGATTGGATCTTGTAATGAGGGGATTCAGGAGGCTTGATCTGATTGGATCATGCCCTGGAGTGATGCCAGGGCTCAATCTGATTGGATCACAGATCATGCCACGTGGTGTCCACTTCTTAACTCAGTCCCTGTTCCTCCATCTGAGCACTTAGGTTCCGCCTGGATCTGCACACTTGGTTCATCTGGGCATGCCCAGGGTACGTAACTTGCAACCTGGGGGTCCAAGGCAACTGAAAAACAACTCGCCATTTTATTACACAAAGTTGAACCAGATTGGGCTGGATCTGCGGTTACAATGTTTACCAGTTTATTATAAAGGATACAACTAGAGGGGCGGGGCAGTGCCGGCAAGATGGCTGCGCCCGAGAAGATGACATTTCCAGAGAAACCAAGCCACAGAAAGTACAGGGCTGCCCTGAAGAAGGAGAAACGAAAGAAACGCCGGCAGGAACTTGCTCCACTGAGGGACTCAGGACTCTCACAGAAGGAGGAGGACACTTCTATTGAAAAACAACAACTAGAAAAGCTATGGGGAAGAGAGAGGCAAAGATTACATGAGGAGTGATTGCCGAGCAGAAGGCACAGGAAGAATTCAGAATAAAGACGGAAAAGGAAGAGGCGGCTCGAAAACGGCAAGAACAAGAGCGAAAGTTAAAGGAACAATGGGAAGAACAGCAGAGGAAAGAGAGAGAAGAGGAGGAACAGAAACGAGAGGAGAAGAAAGAAAAACAGGAAGCTGTCCAGAAGATGCTGGATCAGGCTGAAAATGAGTTGGAAAATGGCGCCACAGGGCAAAACCCGGAACCCCGCCTTGGATTTCAGAGTCATGGAGAAGGATCCAGCTAATTGTTTCTTCTACAGTAAAACAGGAGCTTGCAGATTTGGAGACAGATGTTCACGTAAACATAATTTCCCAACATCCAGTCCTACCCTTCTTATTAAGAACATGTTTGCAGCGTTTGGAATGGAGCAATGCAGGAGGGATGACTATGACCCCGACGCAAGCCTGGAGTACAGCAAGGAAGAAACCTACCAACAGTTCCTAGATTTCTAGGAGAACGTGCTGCCCGAGTTCAAGAACGTGGGGAGAGGCCGGGCACAGCCTCTGTAATCCCAACACTTTGGGAGACTGAGGCGGGTGGATCACGAGGTCAAGAGATAGAGACCATCCTGGCCAACATGTTGAAAACCCGTCTCTACCAAAAATACAAAAATTAGCTGGGCGTGCACACCGCACCCAGGAGAGGCACAGTTCACCAAGTAGAGGAAGAAATAGTGACCGCAGCAGGGGCCGGTGCAGCCAGAGCCAGAACTGCAGGAGCCCTCACAGCTGGAGCCAAAGTTCTCTAGGTCCTGAATTCATGGCAGGAGGAGATCAGGTAGCAGAGACAGAACTATTCAGATTCCCAAATCCAAATAAACCTGTTTTATTCTTACAAAAAATAATAGGCCAGGCGCGGTAGTGCACACCTGTAATCCCAGCACTTTGGGAGGCCGAGGCGGGCAGATCTCCTGAGGTCGGGAGTTGGAGACCAGCCTGACCAACATGGAGAAACGCCATCTCTACTAAAAACACAAAAAATTAGCCGGGCCTGGTGGCACATGACTGTAATCCCAGCTACTCAGGAGGCTGAGGCAGGAGAATCACTTGAACCCGGGAGGCGGAGGTTGCGGTGAGCCAAGATCGCGCCATGGCACTCCAGCCTGAGCAACAAGAGCGAAACTCTATCTCGAAAAATAATAATAATAATAATAACATAAAGAATACAACTTCGAAACAGCCAACTGGAAGTCATGTATAAGACAAAGGAAGATGTGGGAGGTGGAAGCGGTTGTGTGGAGCCTCCATGCCTCTCTGGGTGCCATTGGTAGACTGGGGGAATTAATTCCCTGGTACTTCCAGCCTGCAAAATGAGCTCTTGCAACCAGTAAGTCCCCAGTCAAAGGGGTGCAGGAAGTGGTAGGTGGAAGTTGAACAGATTGTAGGTTTGCATATATGAGATAACGCCGCAGGGGACATAGAAGCTACACATGGCAACCCAAATATTCTGATCTCGGAAAGGAAGAGAGAGTGGATTCTTGGAACACAAGTCCACCCCCCCAAAAGCATCCCACACCAGCTCACTCATAAAGCTCCAAAGATGGGCCAGAAAAACAAGCTCTATACCAGGGGAACTTGGAGGCATGACAAGAAGGACAGAATGTGGACCCAGCCTTCTAAAGGAGAAAGAATCTGACAGAGAACAGTCCCAGAGATTTTGTGAAGGTCGCAGGATGGAGAGAAGGAATTGTAGCTTAAAAGTGGGTGAAGTTCTGCTACTCAGGAGGGGGGTTTGGGGTGGTAGGGGCTGGGGAGAGCAACCGTTCTTCATCCCCGGAGCAGGAGGCCGCTGACTTTTTGCAGATCCAGAATTTGGCAAGATTGCATTTGTCATCGTTCCAGCCATTGCCACTAAATTCCGCACAGTCTTCCTCCCCAACATTGTTGGGCTCTCCTTTGTTCCAATACTGCTTGAAGCTGCAAAGCGCATGCAGAATGTGAGCCTCTGTCCCGCCCCGGCTACATGAGCTGTGTTTCTACCTTCTGTCGTCTTGGTGCTTTAACATCTGCCCTGCGTGTTTGTGCTGGACATGAATCCCTCTGCATACCTGATAATATGCCTGACTCACGGTGCCTTGGGTTCCTGCCTCTCTTCTCAAAACCTGTCCTTGGGCGGACTCCACCTATTGAGGGTGTGATTTTCAAATACAAACCAACCAATCTGGAGTCCACACCCCCAGCCACCTGCCTTACTGGGCACTTGTACTCCAAGCCGCTATCCTGTGCTAATCAACCCAAGGCCAGATGGTAGACAGCTAGGGGCAGCCCCTGTGCCCCAGAGCCCACAAATGCTTCATACTTCCCAATCCTAAGCCTGTTCACCTGGCCTTGACCTTTCCTTTCCATACAAACCATAATAAACGCTCTGGCCCACAGTCACCCCTCCCCACCACTCTGCCTCATAGCAGACCCTGGTGCTTCCCCAGGTGGCCCCCAGCTGTGATGTGTCCTCTCTCTAGGGATCTATGTATATGAGAAGCTACTCACAATGGTAGGTGTCTCCTGAGCTGGTGGCCTTACTAGACCTCAGATTTCCTATTAATACACTATATTTTAACACACCCACCCACGGGGTAAGCTCCTCCTGCAGCTCTGCTGGTGGAATTCTAGGCACCTGCCATGCTGTCTGGAGGTGGGTAAGAAGACCACCTTCCTCAAGTCAGTAAAACCCCCAGATTCTTGGGTCTAGAGTGTCAGGGAGTTGGGGAGGGATCCCCAGGGGAAGTTCAAGTCAGAGTTGCAGAGCCCCAGCCCTAGCGGATGGAATGCCCCTTCTGAGGTCTACCTGGGCAACAGAGGTGAGCCATCCACCCATTGCCATGTGCCTTCGTGATTTAGGTCTGAAAGTCCCATCCAGGTGAAGCGGTTACTTCTGGAAGACTGCAGCTGCAGGAAGTTCTGGAGGGTAGAGGAGGAGTCAGGAGGGAGCTCTGCTTCCCATTTTCCAGGCTCTGTCTCCCCATCTCTTGGCAAGAAGTTCTGCTTGTAGGCTAACCTTCAGCCTTCCGGTACACTGGGTCCTAAGTCCCCTCGTGTCTGAGTCCCTCTTACATGTGTATCCCACAGCACATGTGCCCTGATGTGCACACATCCATGCACAGCTGGCCTCTCCTCACACTCTCCTCACACACTCTTGCTAACACTGCGTGTTTATCCATTTTATACATTCTGTGCATGTCTGCACACATTTACTCATAACTGGGCTTAATGTATTGGAGCCACATCCATTTCCTAATTGCTGGTCATGCACATCTCCTTTCAGCTCTGCACTGAGTGACATCACATCGACAGCTTGAAATCAGCCGCCATGGGAATATTTACACCAGGGAAATTGGCAAACAGAACGCATCAGGACTTCCTCCCCCAGAGAGCTGGTTGTTAACCACTTGTGGCATGCCACTGGGGGTTACTTATAGTTTACATTTTCCCCAGAGCTTTCACACATGTTCAGACTTGGTTTGTATCTGCTCTAAGGGTACTTGGGACTCCCTCATTCATATCCTTCTCTTCCCATCTTTCCAAGTGGAACAAAACCCCTCTTCTGCAAAATCATCTTTCAGCATCTCCTCCCCTGTTGGCCAGAAGCCATGCCCCAGGCCAGGATGGGGACCCCCACCAGGTGTACCTGCTCCTCAGCACTTTTGATTACGACGAGCTGGGCCCCCACCTCCTGGCAGGCGGTGATGGAGTTGTGCCAGTTCCGCTGGGAGTTAGACATGAAATAACAGTTTCCTTGGAAGAATGTCCACTCCCAGGGACAGGGGCGGCACAGGCGTGCTGTTGGGGGAGGCCGGTCAGGGCTGGGCTCAGATGAGGTTGTCCATATTCCTGTATCTGTCCAGCCTTCAAGGTCTTGAGAGTCGGAGCCCTTCCTTCACTGTCCACGCTGGGTGGACCATTCCCCTCCCCACTTCCCGAGACCCTCCCCAATTCCCATGAGAACCTAGGAGTCCTGGCCCCATCTCCTCCAGACTAGGAGAAGTCGGGGCTTTAGAACTTAGAACAGAAGGCAGGAGACTGGCTTAATTCAGTGCCTACTGTGTACCTGGTCCACTGTAAACACCGAGTGCCATTATCACAGTTACCCTGTGTTCTCATTTCACAGATGAAGAAACTGTGGCTCAGGCAGGGTCAGTGACAAGCAAACTCACACCACACAATGACCATCTCAGGGCCAAGGAGCCCTGGTTCCAGGAACTCACCCACTGCAGCCTTCAGCTGGATCAGCTCCTGGTAGATCTCCTGTTGCTTGGACCTGTCTGGCAACCCATCGACTGCAGCCTTCAGCTGGGTCAGCTTCTGGTAGATCTCCTGCTGCTTGGATTTCTCTGGGAGATCACCCACTGCAGCCTTCAGCCGGGATAGCTCCTGGTAGATCTCCTGCTGCTTAGATTTCTCTGGAAGCTCACCCACTGCAGCCTTCAGCCGGGTCAGCTCCTGGTAGATCTCCTGCAGCTTGGATTTCTCTGGAAGCTCACCCACTGCAGCCTTGAGCCGGGTCAGCTCCTCGTAGATCTCCTGCTGCTTGGATTTCTCTGGAAGCTCACCCACTGCAGCCTTCAGCCGGGTCAGCTCCTGGTAGATCTCCTGCTGCTTGGATTTCTCTGAGAGCTCACTGACTGCAACTTTAAGCTGGGTCAGATTCTGGTAGATCGCATCTTGTTTGGATTGTCCCTGACTTAGGGAGCTAGGGACTTTGGACACTGGGTCAAGAAAGAAAAGGAACTGCAATTATTAAACACCTACTGTGTGCCAAGCCCTGAACTGAGCCCCATGGGGACATCATTTGTGAGAGCCAAGGTCTCCGTTAATCGCCTTTGAAGATGAGGAAAACTGACACCCGGAGAAGGCAGCACAGAAGGCCAAGGAGAGCCAGGTTTTTCCCCTCCTCCTCCTCCTCCTCCCTCTCCTCTCCTGCCCTAGAGTGGGGAGGAGCTGTGGGAGAGGCCCCTACAAACCCCCAGGGACAACACCTTGACTCTCAACCCCACCTCCCTCCCAGACCTGGCTGCCCCAGGCTGTGTCCACAGCCAAAAGCTAGGCCTGGGGACCCCAGACCCTCAGAACCTGCGTCTGACCTTGGACAAGGAGCCCAGCCAAGAGCGTGAAGGAGAGGAGTTGCAGGACCAGGGGGCCATGGCCAAGACACCCTGAGAGAGGATCCATGCGTCAGCCTGCCAGTGTCCCCACCTGAGCCTGGCCCAGGGGGAACCTGGCCTGAATCTCTCAGCACCCCAGGACTCAGGAACCCCAGCCCCAGCCCCCTCCACTCCAACACCTGGGAATCCAGGCCCTAGCTCGCACCTCCCCAGGACCCAGAAACCCCATTCCCAGCCTACCCCTCCCCAGGTCCCAGGAACCAGGTACCTGGTTCTACCTCCCCAGGACCCAGGAATCCAGGCCCCAGCCTCTATATCCCCAGGTCCCTGGAACCCAGGCTCTTAGCCCCCACCTCCCCAGGACCCAGGAACCCAGGACCCAGCCTTCCCCTCCCCAGGTCCCAGTAACCCAGGTACCTGCTCCCGCCTCCCCAAGACCCAAGAATCTGGGTCCCAGCCCATACATCCCCAGGTCCCAGGAACCCAGGCCCAAGTCCCCACCTCCCCATGATCCAGGAGTCCAGGCCCAGGCCCCCACCTCTCCAGAACCCAGGAGTCTAGGCCCGTGACCCTACCTCCCCAGGACCCAGGAACCCAGGCTTCAACTTCTATCTCCCCAGAACCCAGGAGTCTTGGCCCCAGCCTCCACCTTCCCAGGAACCAGGAATTCAGGCCCCAAACTCAACCTCCCCAGTTCCCAGGAGTCCGGGCCCCCAGCCCCACATCCCCAGGACCCAAGAGTCCAGGCCCCAGCGTCCAGCTCCTCAGGACCCAGGAGTCCAGGAGTCTCTCTTCTCTCCTCCCAAGCTGCTAACTCCTCTCTACCTGCTAAGCTCTTGTAGCCTCGAGTCTGTCGGAATCCAACGCCTCCCAGCTGTTCCTCCTCTGAATGGATAGACGTGAACTCAGAGCCTGGGCAGGCTGAGGCCAGGGCTGGCCATCCCTTCTCCCTTCCCAGAATCCCAGCGTCCCAACCCAGCCTCACCCAGGAGGCCCAGCTGCTGCAGTCTTGGTTCCTTGGAGTCACTCATGTCACCCCACTCTCCCGCAGTGTCCAGAACTCCTGGGGGCTGGAGCTTTTGTTTCCCATCCTGTGATCTTTACTTCCTAAATCTAGACTCCCACAGGAAGAGAAACAGGAAGTTGGGTAGGTATCTGTCACCCAAAAGGCTAGTGGAAGGGATCAGAGCATGAGATGGGCCGGATCTTTCAAGAATTTCAGGGAGGGGGTGGGTGATGGTTTGGGGTTGACAGGGAGAAGGACTGGTCCACTCATGGATGGCTGAGCAGTGAGATGCTTTTAATGAAATCTGATAAATTATAAGAGAAAGCTACTGTGTTACACCCCCTCCACCTAGAGCAAGGGTGGGCAGGTAGCACCCCCAGTTCCTGGAAGCACTGTCCCTTGTGACCTCCTGGCTTTCCTGCCTTGAGCTGCTGCTGTCCTCATTTTTGGGAATTCTTGCTGACTTTGGGAGTTGGGGCAGAATCATAATTGCTTGTTTATTTAATGCCTAGGATAGTCAGGTACTTTTCCAACAGCTTTATAAACTCATTCATTTAATGTTCCTACCCTTCAGTAGATCATATGACCTCCATTATACAGATGGGGAAACTGAGGAGGCACTGCAAGGTTAGCTGACCGGCCCAAGGTCACATAGCTGGTAAATGGTGGGGTTGAGACTTGAACCCAGACAGTCTCACTCCACAGTGCATGCTGTAACCAAAGAGTGAAACAGTATCAAAGAGGAAAGAAAAGATCCATAGCAGCTTTATTTAGAAAGATCTGAAATTGGAATAAACCCTCTGCCCACCAGCAGGTGAATGATAAAAAATATAATGGCATATTTAGAGATTGGAATACTATACAGCAATGAAAAAGCTAAGTACTGATACATTTAATAACATAGATAAATCTCACAAAACAGGAAAAGGACCAAGACAGAGTGAGTACACACTGAAAGATTTGATTTTATGTGAATTTCGAGAACAGGCAGAACTAACCTTTGAAGGAGACTCAGAATGGGAATTATCAGGAAGGAACCAGTGGAGATTGACAATGGAGTTTCTGTATGCTGGAAATGTTCTATATTTTGATCATAGAGATGTGCATCTACCACATATGTGTTAAACCTCAATGTAAAGATGGAAAATACCTATATGTATCATAATCAAATAGTGGTTTTGACCTGATCTTTACTTTGTATTCTTAAAATGTTTTAATTTTAGAATAATTTTGGGTTTATAGCGAAGTTGCAAATGTAGGAAAGAGATTTCCCATACGTAAATTTCCAACCTCGGGATCCCCAGTGTGAACCCAGTTTCTCCTAATGGTAACATTTCACATGGTAATGAGGTAGGAAACTGGTAGAACTTGTTTTTTGGCCACAACCCTGCAGACCCACACAGGATCTGGTCCAGATGAGAGGATGTGAAGAAACCAGCAGGAACCAGCAGATGGCAACAAAAGCAATCCCTGGCTGCCTCATTGCTCGTGGGTATAAGATGCTCCCACCAGTGCCCTGACTATTTACCAATGCCATGGCAACGACCCAGAAGTTACCACCTCTTTCCACGGAAACAACCTGGATGTTGCCACCCTTTTCCTAGAAACTTCTAAAGAAACTGCCCCTCAATTTGCATTGACCCACCCCTTAACTGACATATAACTGAAAGTGAGTTGACATGAGTATAACTACAGTTGCCAAGAGCTTGTATGTTGTTGACTCTGGGTGCACTGCCTATGAGTTAGCCCTACTTCACAGGGAGCAGTACCATTACATAAAAAATCTCTGTCTAAGGCCAGGTGCGGTGGCTCATGCCTGTAATCCTAGCACTTTGGGAGGCTGAGGTGGGCGGATCACAAGGTCAGGAGTTCGAGACCCTCCTGGCTACATGGTGAAACTCCATCTCTATTAAAAATACAAAAAATTAGCCAGATGTGGCACGTGTCTGTAGTCCCAGGTACTCGGGGGGCTGAGGCGGAAGAATTGCTTGAACCTGGGAGGCTGAGGTTGCAGTGAGCTGAGACTGCAACACTGCACTCCAGCCTGGGCGACAGAGTGAGATTCTATCTCAAAAACAAACAAACAAACAAACAAGAAAACGGTGGCTCACACCTGTAATCCCAGCACTTTGGGAGGCCAAGGCGGGCACCTGAGGTCAGGAGTTCGAGACCAGCCTGACCAACATGGAGAAACCCCATCTCTACTAAAAATACAGAATTAGCCAGGCATGGTGGCTAATACCTGTAATCCCAGCCACTTGGGAGGCTGAGGCAGTAGAATCGCTTGAACCTAGGAGGCAGAGGTTGTGGTGAGCCAAGGTTGTGCCATTGCACTCCAATTTGGGCTACAGAGTGAGACTCCATCTCAAATAATAATAATAATAATAATAATAATAATAATAAACCAAATAAATAATTTAAAGTAAAAAACCTACATAAGTATCGCAATAGATCAAATTAAAGTGTTCAATAAACCTCAACAGTGACTCGTGATTTACATTTTTAAAAGTCTTAGTCAACTAAGAGTAAAAGGAAATATCTTTTTTTTTTTTTTTTTTTTTTTTTTTTTGCGACAGAGTCTCGCTCTGTCCAGGCTGGGGTGCAGTGGTGCGATCTCAGCTCACTGCAAGCTCCGCCTCCTGAGTTTATGCCATTCTCCCGCCTCAGCCTCCCAAGTAGCTAGGACTACAGGCACCCACTGCCATGCTCAGCTAATTTTTTTGTATTTTTTAGTAGAGACGGGGTTTCACCTTGTTAGCCAGGATGGTCTTGATCTCCTGACCTCGTGATCTGTCCACCTCAGCCTCCCAAAGTGCTGGGATTACAGGCATGAGCCACCACGCCCAGCCTATTGTACACTTTATTTCTATTATTATTGCATTGTAATATATAATGAAATAATATACAGATCACCATCATGTAGAATCAGTGGGAGCCCGGAGCTTGTTTTCTTGCAAATAGACGGTCCCATCTGGGGGTGATGAGAGACAGTGACAGATCATCAGGCATTAGATTTTCATAAGCAGTGTGCAACCTAGATCCCTCATATGCACAGTGCACAATAGGGTTCCAACTCCTATGAGAATCTAATGCCACTGCTGATCCAACAGGAGGCAGCGCTCAGGCAGTAATGCAAGCAATGGGGAGCGGCTGTAAATACAGATGAAGCTTCACTCGCTCGCCCTCCATTCACCTCGTGCTGTGCAGCCTGGTTCCTAAGATGCCATGGAGCAGTACTGGTTTGTGGCCCAGGGGACAGGGACCCCCATTCTACATCATCTCCCAGAGGCTCCCAGAGAAACTGAGTCCCAGTTGCCTACATGGGTCATAAGCTCGTCCATGCCTGTAAACTGGCTTCCTTCCTTTTCCTACCTGCCCCTCTTCACTTTCCTCCTTGTCTTCTGGTACTTCTTGGAAGTCCCTCCCAGATAAACAACTTGTATCAAAATTCTCGTCACAGGATTTGTCCCTGGCGAAACTCAAGCCAAACTTATAGTATGTTTTGATACCTGTCAGTCATGGTTCTTCTCCATCAAAATGTTCTCAGCTATTCTTGTGCAATTTCTTTTTTTAGATGATTTTTACATGACTCTTGCTTTAAAGGTTTTACTTTACTTTTTGAATAAGTCATGTGTGCACCTAGAACCAAAACCCATCAGTCTCTACAGTGATAATGAAAGCTGGCTCCCAGCCGGGCGCAGTGGCTCACGCCTGTAATCCCAGCACTTAGGGAGACCGAGGTGGGTAAATCACCTAAGGTCAGGAGTTGGAGCCCAGCCTGGCCAACGTGGTGAAATCCCGTCTCTACTAAAAATACAAAAATTTGCTGGGCATGGTATCACGTGCCTGTAATCCCAGCTACTCAGGCGGCTGAGGCAGGAGAATCACTTGAGCCCGGGAGGAGGAGGTTGCCGTGAGCTGAGATCACACCATTGCACTCTAGCCTGGGGGACAAGAGGGAAACTTGGTCTCAAAAAAAACAAAAAAAAAAAAAAAGAGAGAAAAGAAAGAAAGCTGGCTTCCTCCCCATTCTCTGATCTGAAGAAGTTACTCTCCCTAGTTGCAACCTCTATAGCATATTCCTGATAATCCACTTATCAAATTTGTTTTAAAATCTGTTTGGCAATCCTTCAATAGAATTTTGAAAATCTGTTTGTGAGTAGGTGGAGCACAGAGGATTTTTAGGGCAGGCAGGGGAACTACCGTGTATGATACTGCAACATCGTTACACATTTGTTCAAAGCATAGAATGTACAACGCCAAGAGTAAACTCTGATGTAAACCGCAGACTCTGGGTCACAATGATTTGTCAGTACAGGCTCATCCATTGTAACAGTGCACCACCCACTCTGGTGAAGGATGTTGCATAAAGGATGTTAATAGTGATACAAGCAAGTTGCTCAGCTATTACCTCATGTTGGTGCTCTCCAAAGCTCAGAAAATCTTATGCGTCAGTATCTAATTTTGGGGGGCAATTGGCAGAAATGTCCATCAAGGCGAATGTGAATGTTTTGGGGAAAACGTCAAATGTAAGCAAACCACCGTGGCGTGCTGCAAGTGTTTTAACAGCCAGCTCTCAGGAGGGAAAGTATCAGTACTTTCGGAAAACTTAAAGGCCGGGAGAGAATGGGATGATGTATTCAGAGTGCTGAAAGAAACAAACTGTCAGGCGAATGATACTGCTGTAATCCTTTGCAGTGAGTCACTCAGTCCAGCTCCACTCACAGGAGTATAAAAATGTGTGAACATATGTTAAAACCACCATGCTAATTAGTAAGTATTTGAGGGGGAGGTGAAACTTGGAGGTTATGGATCTGCAGCATCTCGGCTCTTGCCTCATCAGAGGAAAGAATTCATCTAAGAGGAATAAGGCAGAAAGCGAGACTGAGGCAAGTTTTAGTGAAGGAGTGAAAGTGTATCAAAAAGTTTTAGAGCAGGAACAACAGGAAGTAAAGTACGCTTGGAAGAGGGCCACCCGGGCAACTTGAGAGATTGAGGTGCTCAGTGCAACCTTTGACTTGGGGT